TGGACTGTGGGGCCAGATATCCTGGTTCAAATTCCAGCTAACCACTTTCCATCTGCGTGACCTTCAGAAAGTTACCTAACCTCTGTGTGCCTCAGTGGCCTTATCTATAAAAAGAACAAAATAATAGCGTATCCCTCATAGAGTTGTTAGGATGATGAGTTAATATATTAGAAAGCGCTCTGGGCTAAGCCTGGCACATGGCAAATGCCATACAAGTTGTTGTTGTTGTTGTTGTTGTTGTTAGATATGTAAGGGAAGGTCTGTTCAGGCGGCCAAATCACCTTTGGTAGCATAATTTGCAGCTGCTGGGGTTCCCTGGTATGATAGTGCTTGCATTCATTTAACTTCCTCTGCTGCTGGGCATTTACACTGTTGCAGTTTTTTTTCTTCTTCTTCTATAAACAACAACGGGATAAACATCCTAGAACAAACACCTCTGCACACATCTTTATTTGTTCCTAAAAATTCAACTGCTGAGTCAGAGATCACACATATTTTTAAACTTCTGATCCATCATTGCCAACGTGCCCTTCACAAAAGTTGCACCGGTTTACCCTCCGCTCACATCCGCACACCGCCCCCCCCACCCTCACCTGGGGCCCTGGGCCGACTCTAAAGTCTCTCCCTCCTGCAGACTAGCCTCCTTACCCGTCTGCCTGTCTCCCACACCCATGCTGCAATGCCCCCCAGCGAAGCAGTGAAGTTTGGGGATCCTATTTTCAGCCTCCTGGGATAAATCTATGCTTCTCATTTTCCCCCACATGTAAAATGTGGGTCAACACACCTGCCAAGAATCAAACACTATTTAAAGGTAGTCTATGAAATTGTGTGGGACTACATATTCCATGCATCCAAATGACACCAAAATTCCAGACAGAACAGGCAAAAGTTTAGCTTGTTAATCGCACATCGAGTGATTAAATTTGGGGTATTTTTAAACCATTTCCAGCATCCAATATCAAGACTCCCAAGGGACCATACCAGAGCCCCAAAACTGCCACGTTAGAGCTCTCTCTGGACCACCTTGGAGACATATCGTTTGAGTACAAATGCACACAAGCCATCACGTTCCTATGTGCAAGCAGACTGATGTCCCACTTGCCCATACCACACTAAGAAATAAAAAAGGGCCCAGCTACAAAAGGCATCAAGTGTCTGCCCTCTGAGGACCGTAGCAAGCTTGTGTGTGGGCATGGCAGCGTACCGGGCTCCTTCTCACAGTGCTCAGTGACGGAGGGCCCTTACACCCATTTTGCTGATCAGGAGAATGAGGCTCAGAGAAATTAAGAATTTTCTGAGCAGCTGAGAAAAAGAGAGGCAACCCTGACATTACATCCTCTGGTCACCAAATCCTTGCCCTCCCTACACTTCAAGACACTGAGGGCGTCTGGAGAATGCTGGCCACCATGTGCCTCAGTCACCCATGAGACTTCCTAGAACGGCCCCTACCACCCACCACTTCTCTCTGCAACAAAAAGACCTGCTCAGACTGGGCACGACAACTTACAGACATCCTCCCAGTGCCACAGGTGAGGGGCACCTGGCTTTCCACACCTGATGTCAGAGCTGTGATGTCACTCCAGATGCTGTGCCCCAGTTTGTCCCACGTGGCAGGAACCTGAGGTCTCAGCAGAGTCCCCCAAGGGCACATCTCAGAGAGATCTGGGTTGTGTGGAGAAGCCAGAGAAGGAACTGGAACCTTCCAGAAGAAGAGACCCCAGGACACTGAGGAGAAGCTCGGGGACATCAGCCCTCCAACTGCCATTTGCTGACCGCCTGCCGGACACTGCACTCAACATTCACGCATGCTCTCACAGCTCACTGAAGAATACAACCAGCTAGGCACCATGATGGTCCCACTTTACAGATGGGAAAAGTGTAGAGCAGCTCAAAGACTGGCCCGAAGCCAGGCGGTCTGAACACACAGGGATGACTCAGGGCTCAGGACTCAGGTCTGAAGCTGAGCACCACCTCTTCCCAGCTGTATGGAGAAGTGACTGACCTCACCAGGAAAATGGGCATAATAACAAACAGGGAGAATGTGAAAACGATCAACAGAGAAATAGGAATTCAGCAAACAGGTTTAATGAAACAATTCCCTAATGCTGACATGGGGGGCAGGGAGTTAAGGTCTCTAAGAAATTATCCTGGAGATGCATGGGATGGGTGGGCTATGTGCGCCTGCACCTGGTCTCAGTCGACAATTATGGAGCACTTGTTGTATGCCACCACAGTAAACGGGGCACCATGCTGGCCTTGACCTGCTCATCATCCAACGGGAGAGATGGGTCAAAATCTCACAGGTGCCTGTGAGCAGGGATAAGGTAGGGTAGGGACAGATCCAAACTTCCTAGCGGCCAACCAGCCAGGGGAGGCGGGAGGTTTTCCATTACAGGAACAGCCAGGATCAAGGAACCAAAAGGAAGATGAAGCCCAAGAGGTGCCCACCAGGGCCAGGCCCCTCACCTGTGCTACCTCAGCGAGCCTCAGGCCGACTCTCAGAGGGAGGGGTCAACAGTTTCATCTCTAAGATGAGAAAACTGAAGTCAGAGAGGTTAAGCAAGCTGTCTGAAATCACACAGCTGGCCAGCAATGGGGTTGGGATTTGAACCCTCGTCTGTGGGACAAAGAAGAGGACGGGAAAGAGTTGGCGGGGGGTATGGCTGCAAAGACCACAAGACAGAGACTGAAGGGATGCACTGGCTCCCAAGGCCTGATGAGAGGTGCAAGGGGGGGGCCTGTGAGCCACGACAGTGTCCGAGGGGATCCTGTTCCAGCTGGCTGGCCAGGGTGGGGTGGGGTGGGGCTTAAAGAGTCTGCCAGAATGGGGCAAGCCTGGCTGATGAGGGAGGAGGGGCCCTAACCCCAGTACTCAGGAGATTACCGCACATTGTGCTGGGGACCCCAAAGCTGGACGCCCACTGCAGCCCCCACACATGCCTCTTGAGAGCATTCTTCCTCCAAGCCCTTTCTGGGACCAAAGAGAAGAAGGGGAGGATCCAGAAGTTCTGCCTCCCATGTAGGGCTCTAAACACCCATGGGCTTGTAAAAACTTCCCTCAAGGGCATAAATGAGTGCAGTGGCCTGTGTTGTGCCCTCTGAAGTCCTGTGGGCGGGCCTGCCTCAAGTGAGCTCTACAAGGAAAAGCTGGCCAGGGAGGGGAGGGTGGGCCAGCCCCCCTCCCCACCCCCGTTCCGGCTAGGGGGACTCAGATGTGGCCCCGCTGACTACCTGGGCAGATTTTCCAACCCTTCCCTTGTTTGTGAGCCTGTCACGAGCCCCAGGTGAGTTAGCTCTCACTCACAGCCTGAAACCTCAGCAGACCTCGTTCCTCCCAGCTCAGGGCCCTCCGGCCCCCCGCATCACTCCCAGGGCCTGTGTATCAGCAGGTCCTTCCCTCCGCAGCCTGGAATGCCACCTCTCTCTCCAGTAATAGAAATTCTTTTAGGGTCCAGTTCAAACACAGCCATGCGCTCAAATCTCTCTGCTCCCCTCCAGCGCCCTGACTCTGACTTCAACCTGTTTCCTGAGTGCACCCCACACTGCTGCCCCCTTCCTTGTAACAGGGTTCCCGTGCTCCGTTCTCTGGCACCAGACAGTTTCGGTCCTGGAGGTTAAGAACCAAAGACTTCCAGGTGCCAGAGGACAGGTACAGGACTCCGCGTTTCCACCCAGTACACACTGATCGAGCACCTCCCACGTCCAGGCCCTGGGACTGGGGGCCCGCGGTGCAGGATGTTTCCCTTTCTAGCCACCTTCCTCCTGCCTGAGTCTCTCCACGACCTCATGCCTGAGAGAGCTCTCCCACCTTCCAGATGCCAGCTCCCCTGTCCCTGCTCTCTTTCCTGCCTCCACTTCTGGGCATACCCAATGTCCTCTGTTGATCTCCAGCCACAGCAACCCGGAGGTGGTTTCCAGCGGGGCCCCAAGGCTGAGGGTCCCCCGTCAGCTTGGTCCCATCTGGTTTCCCACTTCCCAGACCACTTGGCCTCTACTCCCAGAAAGAAACTTCTCTTGCCAGGGAGAGGCGCTCAGATTGTCGCGGGGAGCAGGAAGAGGCCTTTGGCAGGGGTCCTGGTGGGAGCCCAGAAAGCTCCTCTATAGGGGACACTGACTAGAGGGCAGGGGCTCTGAGCTCCCTTTCGGTGACCTGACTAGAGCCCGGCTAGTCGGAGACCCCAAGGGGGCCGCTCCCCTGACCCGCGGAGCACAGCCCCACGTCCTCTCCCGCGGCCGGACTCCGCACCGGAACCGACAACCACAAGCTCGGAATCAGCCGGCATCCGCACCGCGTCCTCCGGCTCGAACCCGAGCCGCCCCAAACACAGGCTGGCGCGCGGGGCTCCCGCTCCAACTCGGAAAGTAGCGGGCGGCGAGGGCCGCGCCCCGGGGCGGCCGCGGGGCAGGGCCCGCGGTACCTGTCAGCAGTTCGATCTTGTGTCCCAGCACCTTCATTTCCGCGCTGCGGCGTCGGGGAGCGCGCTCGGCCCGGCCGGGAGAGGAGCGCGGGAGGCGAGGAGCGAAGCGGCAGGAGAGCCAGGAGCCAGGCAGGCGGAGCTGCCGGGAGCCAGGAATGCTCCCCCCGCTTCCAAAACGGGTTAAAAAAATCCACCAATTGCACGACCGCGCACCCCTAAAAGGCGCGCGCCGCCACCTGGTCGGGGTGAGAGCTCCGGGAGGCGGAGGGAGCGCGCGGGGTGGGTGAGGGTGACACTCCCGGCGGCGCCGGGCGGGCAGCCCCCCCGGCGCCTGTCGCCCTAACAAAGAAGCCGTGCCGCCCGCGCTTCCCCCCCACCGCGACACCCGGGGGTCCCCGAGTCTGGCTGGGAAGGAGGGAGGGGGCGCCGCCCTCGTAAGCAAAACGTGGCCCGAGCGAGGGGGCGCGCAGCAAGCGAGCGTCGGGGCCCGCGGGGAGGCGGCGCCGGGTGGGGGGCTGGCCGCAGCCGCCGCGGCAGGGAGAGAGGGAGACAGGGGAAGGGCCGAGGGCGCCGCCGACTCACCGAGGGTGATGTGAGCGAGACAGACGCGCAGGCGGGGAGCCGGGTCTCGGCGTCCCGGCCGCCAACGCGCGGGTGCAGGTGCGCGCAGCTGGGAGCCCCTCGCCGCGCCGCCGCGGCCGGGGGCGGGGGCCGGGCTGGGGGCGGTGCGCCGCGCGGGGCGTGCCCACGTGGGTGTGGCGGGCGTGGGCGCGCGGCTGGCCGCCTGGGCCCCGCGGGGTGGCGGCGCCCCAGGCCGTCCCGGGCGCTCGGCTTCCGCCTCCTGCCGCGGCGGGAGCGTCCGGCGGGCGAGCGGAGCGGAGACCCCGGGCGGAGCCGTACGCTTCTCTCCTTCCGCGAGCGTCCGGGGGAAGGGGCCCCGCCGCTTGGTCTCGGCGGGGTGCGGTCGAAGGCTCCCAGCCCGCCCCTCCTGTCCCCCTGCGGTCGCGCGGCGTCGGGCTCCCGGGGTGGGGGAGACCTCTGCGTCCGTCTTTGTTTAGGTTCCCAAGGGGAACCCCGGCCAGCGGGTGGGGACAGCAGCCTCCTCCGTCGGCCCCTGCCGCTCGGCCCTACCCGCCGCCGCCTGGGAGTCGAGCGGGGAAAAGGCCCGGGGGCGCGGAAAGAACCTGGTGCTCAGGGGCCCTGGAGCCTTGTCCAGTATTCAGAACCCCAGGGGTTCCTTGGAGGAACTCGTGGGGAGTGGTGGTCTCCAGGTAAAGGTGTTCTGGGCCCCCAAGTGTCCCGCTCAGAGTGTCAGGGTCCCTGCTCTCCTCAAGGAGGGGAACTGGCCCAGCCTTGTCTCCCTCAGGCTCACTCTGGTCTGGCCCAGTGACGTTGCTCTCATCTGTCACCCCAAATGAGGCAGCGCTAAAGTCCCTAGATGGAGTCCAACTGTAGGGAGAATGGAAATCTGATGACCTGAAAGAATTTTCTTGGGCAAAGACAGCTCAGAACAGTGCTTGTGGAGACCGCGGTTCTGCTGAGGCCCTGCCAGTGACCTTGATCAGGCCTCTCCCGGAATTCAGCCTATTCTGTGCAGAGCGAAGGAGTTGGACCAGTCACCCTGGAGGTCCAGGATGACATTGGGTGGGAGGTCAAGAAGATCCTGCAGCATCTCCTCCCCTTTGTCTGGGCTGGCTTGTGGTTAGGTCCTGGCTTTCCCTCAGCTCCAGGCTGTGTTGGGATCTGCCATGGCATTGAATTAACTGACTCACCCGTCTTGAAGAGGCTGGTAAGATTTAGCTGCCTGAGATGGGGTGCATGCTCCTGCTTGGGATACAGTATATAAACCACATAGAAGGCAACAAGCTTGGGTTCTTACAGCCCTGGGGCTCACCTTGGGGGAAATCCCTGCCTCTCACTTTCCACTTTTGTAAAGGGGATAGGGGAGGTCGGTGGTGACAGAGTGAACCTGTGTGTCCAAAACATCCAGGAGACTGTAGTTCTATATAAGTCTGGAGCCAGTCCTTAAGAGCACAGGCTGGGTCTTTAATTTTCTGGCTGTGTAATGTCCAGCAAGTTACTCATCCTCTCTGAGCCTTCATGCCATATTCTGAAATTGGGGTGATGAATCCTCAGATGGTTCTTGTAAGAATTAAATGATGGATCGTAAAGAAAATGCTTAGTGTGGGGTCTGACACGTGGTTTAATTGTTCACTGAATAGTTGCTATTATTGTTATGATTGTCTTAGAGATTCAGGCTTCCCTGAGTTCTGCCCTTTTCAATAAATTCAGACCTAGTCATGAAACAAAACTAATTGTGGATATTCTATTAACATAACTCATGCAGCAGCCTGTTCTGAATTCCTTGGGGGGAACACAGGCCCCAGGAGGGTCTTAAGGCTGCCTAACAAAAGCTTTGGCACTATGACATGTCTGTCTGTGTGCAGGATGGCATCTACCGTGGCCTTGAACTGATACACACAATCCACGAGGCTCAGGTAATTCACAACCCCAAATGAGCATTCAGGTGGGTCAGGTTGCAGGTCTGAACCCTTAAAAGTGGACACTTAATAGATGGTGAAGAAATGTAATTGTAAGAACCCTCGCTCCCCACCCCCGGGGAGGGGGGCTGTTACACCAAGCCCAGGTGCTTAGCTTGGGGAACCAGCAGGTGGAGGGGGCCCTGGCCCCTTCTGGAGGAGATGGTGCTCAGTCATGCCAGGAAAGGAGGAGTCCCTGCTGAGTCAGCAGAAGGGCCAGCTCTCAGTCCCTTCTGCTCTCGGGCTCTCTCCATCTTTAACACCCCACGCAGGGGGCAATGTTGTTTGAGGACGGGCCGGATGGCAGGGCTTTGAACAGAGGATAGCAGAGCCTGGCAGAGGGCCAAGCTGGTGGCTGGGACTGGGGGCCTTGTAAGACGCATCCCCCAGCCTTGCTCCTAATTACCTGAAAGGTGCTGCCTAAGTCACTGCCTTTGCTGGACTTGCCCTTTGCCATCTGTAAAAAAGGCAGGAGACTGGTCTGCACCTCCGCTGGAGGCGAGACACAGCCTTTCTGAAGATCCCTCCGAGCCTTCGAAACCCCATCTAGAAATTCCAGTAAATGCAGCAGTCTGGGCAGTTGCAGCAAACAGAGCCTGACGCTGGCTAGCTGAAGCAGAAAAACGCTTTGTTAAAAGGGGGACAGGCAGCTCTGGCCATCTCAGGAGTCAGGCCCAACACCGCAGCATTGGTCTGGTGTCAGAGCACCACTGCCATCCGCAGCCACAGCCGCTGCAGCCGGGGCCGCCCGTGGGCAAGGACACTGGGTGCTCTGTCCAGCGGGACCATGGCTACCTCTGAAGCCTCAGGTTGTGCTGCTGCTGCTGCTGTGTCCTCACCAGAATGGGTTCTGCGTGGCCTTGGCTTCCTCGTGCCACTCGTTTCTAAATCATGGTCAAGCATGGGCATGTCTGACCAGAGGTGCCCAGAGCAGGTCATCTGCCAAAGCTGCAAGGGAGGCTGGGAAAAGACGCTCTCCGATCCTCTAGGAGGGGGTGGGCTCTGCCTTGTAGGAAGGACAGCTCCGATGCTGGTGGCCGAAAGCGTGACAGTGCCCACTTCCGACCACAGTGGACTTGTGAGGCCACCGTGAGGCTGGCATGCAGGGAACACACCAGGCCCAGTCGCCGAGATTCATAGCGCGCTGCAAATCTACAGTGTCCACTGGTGGTGCTCCTCCATACTTCAAGTCTTTGATTTTTCAGCAGGTGAAAGACAAAAGGACCTTGAAAGCGGTATGGCTTGCTGCCCTTCCAGATGCAGAGGCAGCTCCAGTCCTGTTGCCAGGAGGACAGGTGACTGGGTTTTTCCATTGTGGTGATGAATTAGGCTGAGTCACCATTCCTCTCCAGTCCCCTCGTGACCATGACTGGAGCAAGTAAAAAGTAAAAAGAACTAGCAATTGGGGTTGGAGGTGCAGATGAGACTGGGGCAATGGAAGCTCGCTCTCTTAGTGGGGAGGGGAAGGCAGGAACCGCCCCCCACTCCCCACTCACTGACTGTGAGTCAAAGGCCCTCAGGGGGGAGAAAAGTGGATCTTTTCTCTTCTTTTATAGGACTGGTTGAGTGCCAAGCTCTGTGCTATGGAGTGCATTGGAGAACCTGAGCTGACCAGGGCATTGACCTTGCTAAGGTTTATGCACTGATGGAGGAAACCGGCTTCAAGTCCCATAATCTAGGTGCTAGGCCGACTCTGCTGAAATTTGCGATTGAGGTTAGCATGCAGTACAGTGGGGGCCTGCAGGGGTCAGCAAGGGCTTCCGGGAGGAAGAGGCATCTGAGACTGCAGAGAGGTGGAAAGTCAGCAGATGGAGATGGGCAAAGGATGATGGGGGAGGTACCATCCATCCGTCATCCATTGGGTCAGCCAGGTCTCTGCAAAGCTCAGGGAGGCTCAGAGCTAAACCCAAGGCAGCCCTGCCCCTGCCAGGAGCTCCTGAATGGAGGTGGAGAATGCGGGGTGTGTGTGAGCAGAAGGTAAAGAAGCTGGAACAAGGAAGTGGGCGAGAGTGAGCGTCTGGCCTCAACCTGGCTCTGGAATTTCACCAGGCACCAGATTACCTGCTCCCTGCTCCTGGGCCACCCTGGAACGCTCACTGGCGGTGTTGCCGCCCCCTTTCTCCGATGCATGCAAAGACTCTCTCCTGCAGGGCTAGCCCTTGCTCTCTGGGTAACTCCAGACACCCTGTCACCTCCTCCCCTGCCCCAGAGGGCAGCAGAACCCCTTCCCGCCGGAAGTTTTACCAGACACACGGAGCCGGAGTTTGTGCGGAGTCAAGACAAGGGGTGGATCTGGCAATATTTTTTAAAACTTCTAATAGTCATATATATTTGATACAGAAAACTTGTAAGATGCAGAGGGAAAAATAAAAATCTCTCAATTCCATTGTCTAAAGATAGTGTTAACATGTTAACACCTTGGGGGTTATATCCTTCAGCAGTTTGTGTGTGTGTGTGTGTTTTCCCCCATAGAATCATACTGCATATTATTTTTGCTGCTCTTTTTTTTCCTTGCCACTATATCATGAACATTTACCCTGATAAAAGTTATTCTTCTACAATGTAATCACAATAGCTGCACTGTATTTTACCGGGGGAGGGGGTGCTTCATTATCTTCTTGGCCAATCTCAATTGCTGGGCATTCAGGATGTTTCCAAGTTTTCATTATTGGAAACAATGTTGCAAGCAGTCCTCCCAAAGACAGCTTTGCCCACATCTCTTGGATGACCTCCTAAGGCCACTATGCCCCCTCGTTTTACCTGGCTACTTGGTCTCTGACTTCTGCCAATGCCAGCCCATCTACCCTCAGAAGGGGGCCAATGCATGCTTAAAAGCCTTGATTGTCCTCACAGCTATGCAGGTTCTTGGGGGAATTCAGGGGAAGGAGTGAACTGGTTACCAGCCCCCTCACCTTCCTGATTGTGCCCGTATCATTTTAAAGCCTGAGGTTTTGATCTTATACTTGTAAGATGTTCCCATTGGGGAACGCTGAGTGAAGAGTACACAGGACCTTTTCTTTTGCAACTTCCTGTACTTTTTTGCAACTTCCTATAAATCTATAATCATTTCAAATAGCAAGTTAAAAAAAAAA